CAGTGTGCATGACTTGAACATACCTGAAACACACTGCGAATAAAAAAATAAGGTGTTCGTGGCCTTCAACGCTATGAAAAGAACCTAACATGAACTAGGGGAGTGTAATGATGACTTGGAAGCCGATGTGGCCAGATGAAGGCAACATAACGGATGATTTGACCGGATTTCCTAAAAAATCAGAAGAATAGAATGCTGATTAGCTTCCTGGCATCGAATTTGGACGCTCTCGCAATAGGCAACAGGACGTGTCAGTGTCTTTCATGAACCATGCAACCAGAGAAGGCCTCTGCTTCTACAAGCTCACACAAGAGTCAATTTCTAACAGAAAAGAACAAGAAAATAGTCTGACAAAGACGTACAAGTTCTGAGCATAAGGAAACATTCTATTGAAAACATTAACATCCTATGAGAGCCATTGTAGCAAGATCAATAGCACAAGACACTAAATAGCAGATGCCTTACTTCGAGTCCAAAGCACTGTCCAAGTGGCACGCAGAATAATTGTTGTCCAACTGTCATGTTTCAGAATGTGTGTCCTCTTATGGGTTTGATATGATTGGTTGCCTCCCTCCGCACTTGGTTAAAGAGTGTCTTAGGCCTATTTCAGTTACCGATGTGAAATTGTCGACTGCTGTGGCGAATATTGCCTTCCAGCCAGACTTCTTGTGAACCTGATTTTACTACCTTATCAGTCAAAATGCGTATTCGACCGCCTAACTAAACACTATGTCAATCAGCGAAAACCCAGTTGATGAACAGAATGAAAGCACTTCTGAAGCATTCCAAGGGAAAGTGTAAATCTGCCCTTCCCCCCCCCCCCCTCTAGGTTCCGGAGGGGAAGGGGATTGCGGACCGTGGTCGAAGCCGAGTTTTCTATATGTTGAATGCAGTTGGTGAAACTCGGTAAATAATGGCATTTATTTGTCTAGTAAATTTCTTTTACCGTTAATTAACGTTTTATTGTTATCAACTGCTTTTCCTTTTTTCCAGACATGACTGTCAATTTTATTCCGAAAACCGACATACCACTTAATATCACCAATTAAATGTTAACGTGCTGCTTTTTTAACTTTCTCCAGCAAGTAGTTATATAGCCCGATCTCCATACACCTCGATTCAAAATTCCACGACTAAAAAAGGTAAACGAACCGAATTTTAGGACACGCTGGTGTTTTATGGCCTTGCACTTTATTTTTCCTCAAATTAGTCGAAATTACTTTTCTTCGTTGGGGTGTGCGATAAACTTAGCTCCATGTGGTTCACCCTGGGCTAGGTATACTCATACAGCAAAAAATTCTATTAACTGGCAGTTGACTTCTCACTTCAAACTACCATGACCCCACTGTATGCCATATTCCGCCAATTGCGCAGTACTCACCTCACCTTACCTTTTTCTCTACCTCTGTGACTGACCCTTTTGCATTTGTGAAACACTCTCCTGCCCCCCTCCCTCACCTAGAATTTTTATGATTTTGATGTACCTTCACTCTATGAAGCCGACGTCAACTAAAGGGCTACTAATAACTATCATAAAGCCCGTTATTCTATATAAATTAATAAATATTTCTTTGTTTGTATGCGTGTATAAATCAGGTATCTGCCTTTGAAATGAAGTGAATCTGACCTTATAAGGCAAAGACATAAGACATCAGTTGGTCTTGCGAAAATCGATCAGAGTGATTAAAATTCTTTCAAATTTAATTTCCTTAAAATTTCTTACAGGTAGCAAATCGAAGAGGCCAAATTGTTGATTTGCAGTTTCGCGGTCTGAATGACTCATATGCTGTCATTTCGGTACACTTTAAGAGATTAGTAATGCGCAGAAGTTCGCACATTCTCTGCAAGACCGTACGTAGAGGTTGGATTCATTTGTGTTTATTTTCTCTACGCCATAGTGCAATAAATTTTTCACTAAAAACTTCTCTCCTTAAATTAATGATGATTGACTTTTACCGGGGTAATGCAATCCATATCCTAAATATCATGTCTATAACTGGAACCGGTAATAATGAGCACTATCATAAAATCATGTTGTCTCTGAAGGAGGTTTAAGAATTGGCTAGGGACAACGCTTTCTTCTCCTCGGTTTTTAGCTCTGCCCTCCAAAGCTGGATCATCAATTCAGTTCTTCTCACCAGCTTGAAATGCCAAAATCTCACTCACCCCCCTCCCCCCCCCCTAAAATTTATAGACACCTCCTTTACTAGCCATTAAATTAACAACCTTGATGAGTCTTATCTTTCTTCAGTTTGCACCTCACCATCTCATGACCTTCTAATTAGCTTGCGATAAGTAGGCTCCCCAATCTATATAGGTTATAATTCTTGATAATTTTTGCAGTGGACTCCCCACTTAGACAGCCTGAAATGCAATGCTTAAAGAAGGCTGATTAAATCGGACTAGGTATTCCATCATGGAGTTAGTGAGTCATTCAAACGCCGAGCAGGTAACAGCATCATTTCCCAAATGCAAAATATGCATACTGAACAAGGGTGAAGTATTTGAAAAAAGAATAGTAGGCGGAATAATCGAGTGAGAAGTAAAAAGCGTCGGCGCTGAGTGGGTGCAAAAGGGTTTGCATTCGAGATGCCAATTTCAGATGCACTTAGTGAGGTGGGCTGGTTTGGGTTCTCACTTTGCCAGAAAACTAAATACTAATGAACTGAGGAGAGCAGAGTTATGTGACAACTTGTGAGATTGTTGGAATACTATAAATCGACATTTCCTATTTTGTTCAATGCATTAGAAAATTCTAATAGACTGGTATTGAATAACATAAACACATGACAAAAGAATAGTTATTGTACTCATTTCGGACTCAAGAGGGCTTTATCAAACTTATGTTGTAGAAAACAATGGATGAAAGTTGCCACTTACAAACAGTTATTTTGGAAATGATTGGAAATGGCCTCCAGTGAGCATATTCTGAAGAGAATAGAGTAAAAGAGCATAAGCTTCAGTGGTATAAAGGCGAATGAGAAGACGCTAGCGTCTTCTAGCACGGAGAGTGATGCTTGAGTATAAAAGCCCTTATTGGTCTGTTTTCTGCAAGTGATGACCAATTGGCTTACGGTGCTGTTAACTCACCCCACTTCTAGTTTCCCAGTAGCATTGCCTTTAAGCTCGTGGTAACCATGTCTGTTAACCCTTTAACGCCCTTAGTACCGTGCGAATCTTTTTAAAAATAAGCTCCATTGGTACTAGAATCGTAACACAGAAGGCGCTGGTGAAATGTGTTCAATACGTCAATGCAGACTTCGCCTGATGCACCGCCAAAACTCATCATGTCAGCGGTAACAGTCGGCTGTGAGACACGCGTGAGTACGGTTGGGAGCATTTTTTAAAAAATAATTCGGGCGTTAAAGGGTTATAGGCAAAGATGGCAACTTATCTTGTATTTTGAAGTCAGCATCTCCACCAATATTTTACGAACGGAGAGTTGGTAATTAATAACAATAAAACATAAGATTAATTATATAAGTGGTATCATCTAGTTGTTGCTATTTTAAAATAATCGCATACTAAAATAAGGATCGATTAAGTCAGTCGAATTAGCTTTTGTTTTAGTAAATCATCCTCCTCGTCACGTAGGTAAGCATTTTCTATTAATGGCTATGTGAATGAATTCCAATTGGGTCTTTGCCTCCACCCCTGTGACGTCTGATTCAAATGAACTAACCTCAGTTAGACTACTTCTTTTCACACTGGCGGGGCTAAGTTGATATAACTTCTGGGCGATTCAACTTGATTGCATTTAATAAGTCTTGCCAAGTTAAAATTATGGAAGCTCTTATTAACTAGCTAGCATCTTGGCAATCAGAGGAAAACAATTCATAAAAGTGTACTACGTTCGATTAACCAATGGAGGTAATCGGCAAATGAACTTTGAATTCTGATAACACGAAGTGACTAATGAAATCAGCTGATAAATGTCGAGATGTGTCACATTGGACCGCTGGTAAATTTAGTGCGAACTTCAATACACCGTTGATTCTCTTGCTTCATTTACCCCACTAACATTCGGCCCACCTCTCTTCTCTCATCTACATGCCGTCACTGGCCACGGCACTGCCCAAAACAAGCACGTGAGCGAAAATATTTCAATCATTGGCGAAAACAAATTGGCCCAATTGTGTGTAGTAGGAATGGAATCGAAAGGGTAGATTATGGAGCTAGCGTCACGACCCGTAATTTGCACACCTCCTGGAGACTATGGGTATTTCCTCGTCTTCGCAATGGACATAGTTTTCTGAGTAATGTTCAAATTCAATGGGTTGACTCCCAGATTATCGGGCGAGTTTACATCAACGGCACCCGAAAGATTGCCAACCCGTTGATTTAATTGAGTGGTCGGTCACAACACCACAATTTGTGCGAATTTCCTCACAATTAGATGTTAGCAGATCAGGCGGTGTAAATAATAATAGGTAAATGAGATATTTCCTCACAACGTCCAACTCAGCGCATGAACTCATAATTTCGTTTTATGTTCTCAACCGCATTTGCACTGGAAAACAGAGCAACAGTGCAAAAGAAAGTTAAGCACTTAAATACCTTAGATTTTTTAACTGATAGTTCAAATCGATTTCAAAATTTTGATTTGCATCTTGAGCCATTCGCAATGTGAATTCGAATACTTTTCCTCCTCAAAGAAACACTTTTTCTCGGCAACCATAATAAGCGGTCGTAGTCATGCACGCAAGGACACACAGGAAGGAGAGCCAACAATCCCAACGCTTCGAATTTAATTTCAAACTGTGCATACAGCCGCATATCAACACGTAAATTACAGATGAAAAACGGGCAAAATAGTTCATCTGGCGAAACAAAGAAGCAAAAAGTGAACGAAGGAGGGAGGGAGGGATGTTGAAAGAACGTCTTGGTGGCAGAGAAAGGAGGGGATCTGGGTAGATAAAAGAAAGAAACGAAAAGACATTGTCCAAGTGTTGGAGCGAAGGGAAGTGGATTAGCAAAGTCACAGGAGATTTGATGAAATATCACAATAGGTCAATGAGGTCGCTTATACTTTCAACGGGATGGTCTAGAAGGTAACCTTTGCTGCATTCCTCTGAAGTTTCTTTAACGAGGGACTTGAGATAACTTCTTGAACGATTATGGTCCTTCACCGCAAACTGAGATAGGCCAAATACATCTGAAGTGTGAAGAAGTAGATTTCGACTTTGTTTAGGTAGGGTTTGTACAACCGTGTCGCTTTCAGGGCTACTAACAAGAAGTTTGGAGAACTCTGCTGTTGATCTTATTTCTTCACCTTCACTAGAAGAGCCAGACCTAGACGGAGCTGACGATGACGACGCTGAAGATGCCTTATTTAGAGCCGTAGGTGGGTGGAAAACATCTTCCGGAGTACCAGCAAGGCTACTATAACCTGAAGAGTTATTAGACCTCACTCCTCCATGCAGAGATGTATCTTCATCAAGAAGATATTCTACACAAAGAAAGACTTCTTTGCCACTTCCAATAGCAAAAGCGGCTTCCATCTGATCAACAATCCACAACCCTGTTCGAGATATGTGAAAATATAGCCGGGGACATTGACGCTGTACGGCCATACTAAGCTGAAAATTTCGTTTGGCTCCCTTACGGCTCACCACCCAACCCGCATGGTCGGAGTATGTATCGGTCATGTCCATCTTCTTAGGTGTAGCACCACCGAAGTAAATATTGATAGGCAAATCTGCTTTTATTTTACTATAGGCGGCTGAGTATTTATATGCTTCAATGAGCCTTTCATGACTCTAAAATCAGTGAGAAATAAAAAAGAAAGACTGAGAATTCCACTTCTTGGAAGGGATTGGTTAGGGAATAAAAATGAGGGACTTACAACACTGGATGGTTTGTAATCGACCTTCGGTTCGGCACGACTCTGGAAAAAAATTAAGAACTTTTTGAAGCTCGACAACAACAGTTTATTAAGCTAAGTACAATGAGTTGGAAAGAATTATCAGTTAATTACTTCCGGATGTAAGCAATTCAAATCTATGATCAGCGCAAAGATCTGAAATTAGTAACTGCGTTGCAATTTGAGAAATACAAAGTTGAAACGGCAAAAATATCGCACGCTTATCTATCTAATAGAGAAAAATGATGGCTTACTTTCAACAAAATCAGAACTTCTCCTTATTCGAGCACTTGGTGAATCAAAATGAGAGAGAAAAACAAAACAGTGGTCCTACAATGGATTCCTGGTCACTGTGGCATTAAAGGCAATGAGCTTGCTGACGCACTTGTTAAGAAAGGGACAACGATTTTGCAAGGCATAGACCGGTCGATGTCTTTCCACACAATGAAGGCCGTAATCAGGAGAGAATTCAAGACCTCAAGGTGCAACGAACTCAAAGCTCGAACAAAGGAGAAACAGTGGACAATGGCACTCTCCGACATAGCCGACTGGCCAAGAATCGAGGCCGTTGCTGAGTTTAGACTACATATCGGACGCGATTGCTTGGCAAAGCACCCTCACAGATTGAGAGTAAACACCAAACCCACATGCCCCCTATGTAACTTACAGGAGGAAATGGAGAAGACCAAACTGATTCGGTGTCCAGCCCTAAAGACAAGGACGGAAAGCCAGAGACACTGGGACGCAAGAAGACAGCTGATGAACTGTTATATATGTACCCCCCCCCCCC